TCTGCCGGCTATATATTCAACTTCACGAGCCTTATATAAAAGATCCTGCTGCCTACCCTAAGCTTCAGGTAAAGCACTGACTGTGGAGCATAGAGTGTTAAGAGGTGATTTGTTAACTGGCGCAAAGATGAAGCTATGGGTTTCACAGATGACAAGATCAATAAGGGAAATATTTGTTCATGGCAAGTTAAACGGTATTTCATATTTTCTACTACAGCCATTACAGGATAGCAACTCTTCATTGTGATAAACTTAACTTAGATTCACATCAGTTACCTACAGTTACACATCCTAATTGCTCAGGCCATGAAACAGATCCGCATGCTTCCTTAGAAGGGCAAAGTAGACTTTCAGTCTGGGATAATGGAGCAAAAAGGGTGTACAGGGACTAGATTCCTTCAGCTCACGTTATGTCACCAGCGCCACACTCCCTGAAACATGACACTTTTTACAAACCCTATTTACACAAACACTGCAGAGGAGGGATGCTGTGCTTTAGTTTTATGGTATTTGCGAGGTTGCCATTCTTTTGCACCCCTGGCTGCTGCATGGGAGCAGGCCTGAAGCAGTAAGAGCAGTCACAGGTGAGGCAATGAGCAGTAACCAGGCGCCTCTGCCAGATCTGTTCTTTCTGGGAAAGGGGTGGCTTGGGTAGATCTCACACCTCCCAACTGAAAGTGCCATGGCTCTCAAGAAACGGACACCCACGTGGTGTTGGGCGCAGAGTTAGGTCAAGCCACACTTACTGGTGTGGTCTCAAAATGGTGAGGGGTAGGAGAACGTGTTCTGGGATGAAGAGGATTTGTATGGGCCAAAGAGAACAACTGTCAGTGGAGGCCTTAGGGTGGCTGGATCCAGCCAACAGCATCGAGGTGTGAAACTCTTTTCTCAAATAAGTTACAGCTGCAAAAAGGCCTGGGAATCATTGCTGCAAGGAGTGTAGTTTTGAATAGTGTCAACTCCTCAATCAGCCATTGGCTAATTTTTAAATGCATCTCCCTCACACTGCAAAGCAACTAATATTTCTGTTTAAAATGCAGATGCTGGCATACATGTTCTACTCTGTGCCATACTATGTGATTGCCCTGTATGGCCTGCTGGTGCCTGGTTGCTCCTGGATGCCCGATTTAACCCTTATACATGCTGGAGGACTAGCTCAGGTATTTCTTTGTAAAATGTTCACTCTTGCATTATAAGTTTGTAAGTAGAGAACTATAGAATAAATAAGGGTCCCAGGGCTTGATCCTCCCATGCGGGTTTTATGCCATTGTAAGTCAGATCACCTTTTGTATCTATAAAAAACTAATTTAAGGGAGTGGAGAATCAAGCCTATTATATGTCTCTAATGACTGCATTCTTGCTTCAGCAGACTTCTCTTCTGCAGAATCTTTTATTGGGCTCATTTAAACCTTATTAAGCACCACACACGTTTTAGCCAAGACCACGAAGGAACCCTGTATGACAGCTGTAACAGTCAACCATGTAAAAAAACCCCAAAACACAACAAAACAGTAAAATACATTGTTTCCATGGTATGTTTTTGCCAACCAGGTAGTCTGAAAAGATAAACAGAAAAAACTATCTACTAGCCACACAAAAGGAACAGTATCAGTTGATGATGTTGATATAACACTGGGTACCTCCTGGGCCACAAACCACAGCAACACTAAAGGTTGCTAAAGGCAGACCAGTGATCACGCTTTGACTCATTCTGTTCTGATCCTCTTAAATAAACAACTGCAGTTAATTTCTAGATGGTGCTGATGGTTATGAGAAGACTGGCCAAAATTAGTAAATGACTTCTCACGACATATAGGTGACCATTTAGCAGTTGAGACAGTGACAATTGATTTGTACTGTACACAGGAAATGAAATGTGCTCTCGGCATCCAGACAATGCAGAAAATACACACATAAACCTGCAGCAATGAGAACACAGGGGCACGGCCATAAGCGTAATTCAAGGACCACTATTAGACAAACACAGACCAACACCTTGCTCCCCAGGCCTTGGGTAACGATCATGGATACAAACTCAAATCCAGCTTAACTGCCCAGTAAGGATGAGGGGAATGACAGTTTATTTTCTATTTGTGAGCAACTATCACAGAGAATGTGACTTTTTTTTTATTACTTTTTTTTTAACACACCAGTCTATAGTGAATCATGAATCACCAAATTATATCAAAACAGAATCTGGCAAACATATTAATGAGGAAGTTTAAATGCTCAGAAAGGTATCATAAATATCATACAACTGTGTTTGGCCCAAATCTAATCTAAAAATGTACAAGCTAGCTAAAGTAGGCAAGCCAGTGGCAGGAACCTCTCTCCACTGACAGATTACTCAGATTTCACGAATTCCCCAGTCAGGAAAAGATTATTTAGCACAAGGAAAAGTAAACCTGAAGTCAGTGTGCTGACTATCACAATCTTGCAAATTTACCAAAAACACAGCCTCCCAGATTAGAGGCAATTTTTGTTTGGTTGGTTTGTTTGTTGGGGTTTGTTTTGTTTATGGTGGGTTTTTTTCCCCCCTTTTAAATGTTTCCCATAACAAACAATCACTTTTTTTTTTTTTTTAAGGGCACTTTGTACCTTTTAGCTGTGTGATTAATACATGCAGCATTTTGCTGCTGAAATCTAAAACCCCTCTGTTGTCTTTTGTGGTTTGGCTTCAGGATAATCCTGATGTATACATAAGATACGAAGAATAAAAGCTACCGGTAACCCAAAGCTAACACTCAAAATTTACCATTGTACTCTTTAAAGCTTGTCCTAGGCACAAGTGAAAACTGTGGGCTGACAAAAACTAACTGATTAAGAAAACTGTATGTTGCTGCACACTCCCCACATTTTATCCTGATTCAAAACCACATTTCTTTAAATTTGAGAGTTTTTTGGTAGTTTTTACTTAGTGCACCTCAGAATGACCTTCAGGCATCCCACAACTGAACATGATTTACCTGATCTGACTTGGTGAACTGTGAGCAACCTGGGACGAAAAACCTGTGAGACAATGGTTGAGGACTCCTATATTATTTTTGGTTTTGGTCATTTTGAGGCACAAAACACATTTCCAGGTTTGTCTACTGTTTTCTCAAGTTAAAACATTATAATTGGTAATTAAAACATAGGTAGTTACTGAAACATATTTTTCTTTCTATTATGCACAAAGGTCCAAAACAGGTAAACATCTAATGATGGAAACAGTGGGCATTGCCCCCTGGGAGTGAACACTGCTGCTACAGATGGGGAATGTGGAGATTTTAATTCTTTTTATTTCTATCATTATGAAGTATGTACTTTTTACAAAAACAAGTCTCAAAATACCATGGGATGCATCTAAACTAAGAACCTCTAAAAGTGCCTAGCCTTTCACACAGAGAAATACATACTGCTTTTCAGAATTACATACAGCTCTCAGCTTGAATAATTCTGTTACCAACACTCACACTCCAAAACCAGCATGTGACCCTTACTGGAGTTTATGAAGCTTCAGGAGGAGCTCTTTAATGTCACATGACTAGAGCACCAGGAGCTTTGATTATATAAAAGGGTTGTAATAGCCTCTGTGAACTTGATAAAACCGGCATTTCCCAATGCAAGTGAGCCTCATGAGAAGGGATGAAGAGCCAAAGCCCTGCTACCCAAAACCTTTGTCTCACCAACTCCATAGCCCACTTCCCATCCCTACTCTCTCAGATGTAGACGTGTTTCTCTACTACTTGTCCAAGTGTTTCCTTTAATTCTGCAATTTTTCATTAGTTTCTGCAGTGCCTCTTGTCTACAAGAAAACCTAAACCCAAGGAACATACTTTTCTAGGTTACTCTCTCCCCACTCTATTTGATGGCTCTCCACAGGCTCGTAAGACTTGATCCAGATCCCTCCAAAATCAGTTACCGTCTTCACCTGACTTTAGTCAGTTTTAGAGAGAAGGCACAGGGTGAAGAGACTCCCAACCTTTTTCCAGACCCTTCTCTGTCCCAAGATGGAGGGATTGCTTGATTGCAGAGTAAGAATTACTGCCTATGATTAGGCTGCAGGCAAAAAATATTGTAAAAAAATCCAGACCCAAATTATTTCATATAGACAATTAGTTTAATGAGTACCAGGCACGTGCAAATCGCAGCTGTCAAGTTGAGCAGTGCCACGTCCAGCACCAGGCAGCTTCCAGTTGCCATGGGACGGCCCGATCAGCAGCCCAGGCGTGGCTTCAAGGTTAACAAAGGCAGTGTGTTAGATAGCTAAGGCTTCCTTAGAACTTCACCTGCAGCATCTCATTGGGTTGATTTCTCCACCACAGTTTACGGGTTTATATTCTCCACTTAGAGAGGGCTCAATACCAGAAAGCACCAAGGGATGGCTTATTTGCTGCGAGGACCTGGTCGTGCCGAGGTAACCCAACAGACTCTGGGCTGCTCCCAGTTACTGCAGTGCCAGCCTGTTGCGCAGCAGGGACAGGGATCTGCAGTAACGAGCAGCTCTTGTCTTACTGCTTTAAATTATGGATTTGGTGCAAGGCTGCCTGGCACTTGAAAGAAGAGGAGGACTGGGCTACTGGTGAGTGGGAGATCTGCTTTTGAGACACTCCCCCTGCCCCAAGTGCAGGGGGGCCGAGGGGGGTGGAAAGCAGAAGCAGAGTACGGTCATAGAAAGGAAACACGTGAGATTAAAGACATAACACAATTTCCACAGAAGCAAATAAAAAAAGAACTTTAACAGACCTAAATATCTTCCCTGGTAATGAAAGGAAAAAGCAATGTGTTACACTGAAAACCAAATCTAAATAAACAATAACTTAATTAAATGGTGCATCATTAGTAAATGCTAGTAAAAATCTTCATGGGCTACAAATACAACAAAATGTTTCTGCTTTTTCTTTTTATGATGCCCAAAACTCACAGATGTGCCACAACTCTTGTAAGAGACAAGACCACACAGTAAGGATTAGATCTTTGAGGGCACCTAGGAGGCTGTGGGAGTTCTGGGTCTCTCAGAAACAGTCTCTTACAGATCCTGCCAAAGCTCACTGAACTTACTATGAATTTACTATCAACTTACTATGAGGCATAGCTTGGAGACAGGCAGGCCTTGTAATCCTCCATGAAGTACATAGCTTAGCATCTTCTTCACCTGAGAAGCAGCTCTAAAATACTGCCAGGCAGCTGTTAGTGCCTAGGTGAACACCAGACAGCCCCAAATCTCCTCCTTGAAGCCTGACAGCGGCTGTCTGGTCTGCTCAGGAAACTGCTGCTGCACATAACCAGAGGTCTCTGGTACTGAGCACTAACGCTCTGTGTGCTCAGGCTGAGATGGCTCCCAAGGCGAGGACAGGGAGCAGGGATCTGAGCGAGACCAGCCAGGTGCCAAAGGCAGTTCCTGCCTCAGACAGGTGAGAACAAACAGGCTGTAAAAACAGACTGACTGATGAGGCTGATATAAAAAGGCTGCTGATAGCATGGCCCTGAACATCTGCTCACTGTGTAATAGCTATTTACAGAAACATGCTAAGTGGCACTCTGCTGAAGTGTGTTTGTATTTGATTTCTTTGATTACTCCCTTTCCTGACTCAGGTTTGCTAGATCAGCTCTCCCTGTTAAGTGAAGGTGGTTAGAATCACCTGAAAACTGATTTCCTTTTCTGTTTTGATGTATGGTCTCACCCTGACCTTTTGCTAGAGGGGTATTAGAACATCTGCACTGTATTTCACTTTCTACTTTTCTAACTGTGAACAGAACTGTGTTCTTTGTGAGTCCAAAATAACTCCAGCTGAAGCCAGACCAGAGGACGTGATTTGGCCATAATGTGCTCCTCCGTGTTACTAAAACCCTGGTGTCCCTTTCTCCTGCTCTGCTTAAGATCAAATTTATGTTTATCTTCTCAGATCTCCTCCACTGCCAATGAAATAGATAATAATAAAAAAAAAATTGGACACACGATAGTTAATGTGAATGAGCTGTGGCTTGAAATAGCAGGTAACAGATGGAGACAAAAGACAGCGACTATCCTGACGCTGCTATCTTTAAATGTTAGTTTATGCTAAAAATATGCTTCAGCCCAGCAAGCTTGTCTTTGCATATAACCTTCACTGTAAACTTTTCCTGAAACCACCAGGAGTTCTGGGATCAGAATCTGAAAGACTGGGTTAGAGATTGAAAAAAACCAAAACACAAAAAACCCCCTAGCATAGCTTCCAAGGTTTTATTTTCTACCTTTGTTCACAGTGAGTGTCTGTCTGCTTCCCGTTGGTGCCAAACACAAGATAGCTGGGTGGGTGGGTGCGGGTCCTGCCCCTGCTGCGGGGCTGAGGCTCAGGAGCGCAGATCTCTGCGGTGATGCCCGCTGCAGCGGCCACTTGCCTGGGGAGAGATCATGGACCCTGGTGCATGAACAGTCACCTATAAGCCCAGGGTGAAATCCTATACCTGACATAAAGATCAGTGCCACCACGTGCATAAAATAAACCTCCCACCATGGTACTGACAGTTCCTCTTATGCCCCTTACACCCGGATACTCATGACCTTAGTTTAGACTGTATTTTTATACTGCTGGGCCAAAGTATGACGGATAATTCTGGAATAAAGAGGTTGGCTTGGGAAGTGTCACTGGAGATGCATACTTGCTTGCAGATTATGCTGTCTTTCCAAAATATACATCAACTTTACCTTTTTTTAATATATATGTTATATACACACCACAGGCTCAATTTTCCCATATTGGTGCTTCTCTTCATGCTCGAACTCCTTACATCTACAGAGTCCCTGAAGAAGCAAAACAGTTTTTTCTGATATTGAACATAATGTATGGGATTCTTCCCCAGCTGTTGGCTTACAGGTGTGTCAACAAGCCAGAGTTTTTTATGAAAACAAAACAAGAAAAACAAGAAGAAAAAAAGGAATAGCACAACTGTTCTCAGCTCCTCTTTTTGGCTCTGTATATACTTGGTTTGGGATGTAACTGAACTGCTCAGATGGAACCCAAATGTGCAAGATGTGTAAAACTGCATACTTGTGTAAAGTTGCATGGTCTGTTTTGTTTATCCTTCTCAAAAAGGGAAAATAAAGATGAACTGCCTTCAGTACCACTTCTCAACATTTTGACTTTATGCTGCAGTGGAGCTGCTAGTTCACATAACTATTTTTAAGTAAGCTGCTCTGACAGTTTTAGAAATACTGCATGAAGTTAAATAATAATAATGATGTCAGGGTTTAGCCTCCACACACTGAAGAACATCAGTGCGAGCAGTCCTTACACAGAGCTACTGTACAATGTGAAGGTCAATATTTTGAAGTGTGAAAAATTAACGTACATAACTCTGTCACACGCACATGTTTTATTAGTCAAAAATTATGTCTTGTGGGTCAGCCCTGTTAAAAATCCCAAGAGATCTTTTATGAAGCAATCAACTCTTATGGTAAGACTCCACATATGATAAGCAAATCATGTAGTATTGTTAATTCTTTTAAGGCTTCACTTCTGCAAGGGCTGCGCACCTGCTGGAAGTTAAGCACGTGCTTACTAGTGGCTCTGAGCTGGGCACGGAGGCTCGTGACCTCGGACAGTCAGGCCTTACGCCGCAGCAGGCGCTTTCAGAGAGGAAGGGTTTTTGGCCGTGTTCTTCTCTGCAGCTACTTTTGCAAATGCTGTTGGGTCAGAAACAAGTAGCATCAAATACAGCGACCTTGGATTGTGTAGTTTATGTTTCTGTTTGCAATTACAACTATTTCTATGAGTTCTATGTGTATTTATAGTAAAGCAGCATATTTAGTGCCTTCCTCACAGATGAAGTTTGCTGATACATTTTAACTGGAAACGCTTTATTTGGGGTTGTTGCTTTCTGGGTGTTTTGTGAGAATTTTAATTGTCTTTTAAAACCTAATTGGTTATAAGAAAGCATCGGCTCGTGCACATGCATGTTGCACAAGGGGACTCTCAGAGCAGCAAGAAATTAACGCGTTAACTCTCTCCCGCTGAACACTGGGGTGCAGCTCACAGCAGTGCTCAGAAGAGAGAACCCACTGTTTCATACCTCCAGCCAAAGGGGCAGGTCCAAAATAACCGCAACACATCTCAGCCAATGCTGCTTGGCAAAAAGGAACTTTGCAACAACTTCCTCCAGCGCCCAGCCACCCTGGCACGCGGGCTCCTTCCATGCAGGCTGGAACTGGGGAGGGCGCCGTCCGTCCGGGTACCTCCTCCCAGGAAAATTCAGGCTGGAACTGGGGAGGGCGCCGTCCGGGTACCTCCTCCCAGGAAAACGACCCTGAGCGGTGGGGCTGCAGTGGGACGTGCTGGCTCACAAACGGGTGTTTGAGCCGCCGATGGTACTGCTAATGGTTTTAAAGAAACTTTGAATACATTCAAGGTGAATTTAATAACCTCCTGTTATCCAGAAAAGGCAAAGTACAGAAAAAATAAAGATCTCACCTGCACTTGTAGCTATTATGGTCAACTCATGTTAACAGAATGTTTTGCTTTAATACTTGACTTACATTAATACCTCACATTATTACACGTATGAAGCCAAATATGACGCTAACTTAGTTGCTTACAACCTCAAACCTTACTCCCAATACACATTCCAATAAATTTATTCTGTAAAAACAATACATTTTTTTGTTTTCTTTTTGTTTTGGATTTTTTTTTTGGTTTTTTTTGTTGTGGTTTTTTTTAGTTTTTTACAGTAAACTCGTCAACTACAAACCTTGAATACGCAAAAGATGTTCCAAGGACAAGCATAACAAGGATTGATAAAACCAGACTAAATATGTTTTCACAATAAAAGCTGGCATAAAAATAAATAAAAATCTCTATTATCACAATAGCAACAATAATGTACACAGAATAATGGATTTGGAATGCTTACTTACTAGTCTACTTCTATTTCCAAAAGGAAAAAAAAAACCCAGAATGACAGCATCCTTTTTTAAGCCTTTCATTATTTAAAATTGATGTTTTCTTTTGGTTTCCCATAGGGTTCTATATCACAGTAAGCTTAAAAATGGAAAGCATCCAAATGAATGATTTCAAATTGTGTTGGCATTGGAAAAAATCCTTGTATTAATCTAAAGAAACACAAAAAGACTTTCACTAACTCCACATATAGAACTAAGTCAGATAGTGTACATTACATCATGATTTTGAGAAGTATTAAGAGTATAACTAGCTAGGTACTTCTAATAAGGAAAGGTATTTTGTTACATTATTGAACTTGGTGGTGATCTCAACTGAAGAACTTTTATGCTGTAAACTGATCAAAAATCAACAAAGTATGGATACAGGGGAATTTAAAATCATGTTTGTGGGTGGAAGATATTATTGTAGTCTCGTATGGAGGGGACTAATTTCTAAGATTTACTTGTTTTTAAAAAAATGCTGATTTAGAATGATATAATTTGGAGTTACACCTTTTCTATCTAGAAAAGGAATCTAAAACGTTTTCAAGTATGTGATATCTTCATAAACCTCAGCCACTGGTAAAGGGCAACTTCATGCAACCAAATAATATGAAAATCAAAAAGTAACCCTTAGAAAAAAGGGTAAAATGTCATTTCTGCAAACACAACAGATAGGAATGTGAATAATGTGCATACAAACTGGGATGCTGTTGATGATACTAATGAACAGATGTGGTGACTCATATCAAATCCAAGAATATTAGACAACCAAACATGTAACCTTCTTGTGTTTTCCCTTAATATTCAGCAGTCATTATGTTGGTTAAGTCTGAAAGAGAGAGAGAGAAAATGAAATCACATTTAACGTAAGAAAAAGCAGGCTGCAACAAACTTGATATAAGTAATGCCTTATTCCCATGTACAAGCAAGCACCTGGTCCGGTCGCACAGAAATTTTTTTCTAGAGAAAACTTCTTACATTATATCAACTAAACGTACCAGTACAAAATATTAAAGAACACAGTGTAAAAGTAAACTTTTAGGGATTTTTTCAAATAAGCAGCTCCAGTAATGTATGTGGGTTGTTTTGTGTTTCCCCCATTGTTTAATTACAAATCTTGCAGTATACTTCGCACACAACCGAATTTTGCATTTTTTCACTCCACTACACCACTGATACGCTTCACGCAAAAACTCCAGCACCACTGAATTCCTGAACACCTTGCGAGGAGAACACCCTTTTGTTCAAACAATGAACACTGAGCAAGCATGAGGATGAACAGTTTTCACAGCTAACGCGTCTGAATGTTGCTTCTCAAGAGGAAACAGTTTGGCTTGGAGTTCACTGTAAGGTGATGACAGAAGAGGAAGAAACTCCCACTTCATCACTGAGTCAAGGTTGGCTCTTCCTTCCACTGCCATGAGCGGGAACAGGAGCAGACTGTCCTCACGGGACCATGGCAAGTGTCCCCAAGTCTCGATTTCTTCATCTTAAACAGAGACAGCAAAGCTCACCTACAGGCACAGGGACAAACTACTTTTGCCCAACAACATGACGACATGCAACGCTAGGTGCCTGCCTAACCCTGAGCACAATGTCCCTCTCTTTTGTAAAGAATTCAGTGCGTGAATGCTTGTCCACCCACATCCTGACCAACGGAAAGAAACACAACTCACAGGCAGGGCGAAGGAATTAGCGCTGTATTTGGTGTGATCATCCAAGGAGAAAATCAACATCAAGGAAAAAGGGGGAAGGGGTACAGGTTAAATCCACTGGGGATGATGGAATTTTCATTTTACACAGGATCCGGAGGAGGATATGAAAAGATGACATTTTGACATCTCTGCACTAGCTCTCGGCTGCCTCAGCTCTCTTCCCCGCTGGCCCCTCATACCTGCGGTGTGCGGTGCCATGGCTATGGCAGGCTGGGCTGCTCTGTCCGAGAGGATACGAGCACATGAGTGCCCGCTGAGCACTCTGGGGTCCCAGCTAAGGGCTGGGGGTTCTTCTCTCCTGTGACAAGGGGTTTGCAAACAGTAAGTAATGGAAACCTGCACCTTCCGTGTGGGAGGTCTTGGTACGTCCTGACTAATGACACACGATCAGGGGTGATTATAAAACACTCATGCATGTGATGATGGCTTACAGGAACTGCCGGAGCCCTGCCTCCCCCCAAAAGGCATAACAACGCGCTGCTCATCGAGAACCACACCCCACTGACCCCTCTCCTGGTTAAGAGTCAGTGAGATGATCCTTAGAGATGCTCTGGAGATGTGGCTTGGAGGGGTTTGCTGCCACTTCTGTCCCTTCAGAGGGAAGTGCAGACACCCATCAGAACTACAAATGATGCGTCAATCACACCATGCCTTCTGCTGAAGTTCTTAATGACAGCAGCTGCCCCCCATGGACAGGCAGGATGGGTGTTGATCAGTCCCTACGGTACCTCTCTCAGATCCAGTAAGGAAACAGTGCTGTCCTTTCGCAGTATGAAACCTTTGCATTTATTCACAATAAATAATATTCTTCTGGGCTAAGGCCAGAAGACTGTGAGGGCACCATTCTCACGTGAGGAATACCAACACTTCCACTCCCCACTGGCTCACACAGTGTGGCACAGGAGGGACAACAAAGAGCCGCGTATGCAAAAAATCCTCCAGGATTTTTACAGCTTCCAGTGCCATCTTCCAGCACGACACAGGTTTTGTCTCCCAGGCGCACTCGCGGATGCCCCAAAAGTCGTCAGCTCTCTTCTCCCTGGATGCGGGGCTGCACAGGGACCTTGGCTCCGTCCCCTGCCCAGGCAGCACACGCTGCCAGGCTCCTGCTGCATCCTGAACAAAGATGTGGCAGAGCTGAGCAGTTTCCATGGTCTCCATGGTTTCACGTCTCTTCAGAAACAGATCGACTCGAATCGTCTTTGTTTGATCAAGTCTCTCAGCTTTACTGTAAGATACAGTACAACATGTGCTGCACAGACCAACGCTACTGCACACAAAAGAAACAGCACAGAATCTGACTGATTCAAGTGAAGAATTTCAGTCATCAATAAAATTGAAGGACAGAGAACACAGAGAGCAGGGAATAAAACTAAATCCACAAATTGCCTTGTTTTTCCTGACACTGAAAATTCCTTCCTCAACAGTGTCTGGCAACTGATGCAGCCATCCTGTGCTTTAAAAGCCCTTGCTGGATGGGCAGAAGGGTAATTATTTACTTGCTCTGTACAATCTTGTTATTCCAGGTTTGTTTGAGGTCAAAATGATTACAGGATTCAATCTGCACAGGGATGCAAAGAGTATATTTCATCTATACTGGCTGCTTTAATCTCAGCTTTAATTCAGACATTTGTTTCTCCTAAGCTATGTCTCATCCCCTTATTTAGCAGCACTGTTCTCCAGAGCTACAGGAGGGCAGCAGACAACACACCTTCCACCAGAGAGGATGCCACTATTCATTTTTACATAGAAATTTTTGCCGTGCCATAGTTAAACACATTTCTACAAATGTTAGCTTTTTTGGAGGGGTAGATTTGACTTACCTCAATTTGCTGAAAAAAAATCAGACAGGAATACATATTCTGCTTTAATTTTCTAGAAAAATGCCCACATAAGTGCTTCTACATTGAACAGAGCCCCAAATGCTAACCTTCTAGTACTGATAAAAGCCCAAACCTGTTATGCAGCCTAGCCAATGTTATTCTTGAGAGTAAAGAAAGAAGAGTGAAGGAACCAAACATCTCAAAACCACATCAGAAGGACACAAAGAACCTGTGTTTCTCTGGCCAGTTTGGCCATAACACTTGCCTTTCACAGCAGGAACTGGAATTGTTGCTACCCCACAAGAACATCACAACAAAAAATATGTCCTGGACACAGGCTGTTTTAAATATGTTCTCCCAATTGCAATAGTATCAGATGGCAGTAATTTTGGACCAGATTTTGATCCCCTTATTCATGCTGGCAAGCAGTCGCCTCCACAAATAGATCCACTGACTCCCATGTTAGTAACTGATTGTCAGTGTGAGTAAAAAGATCACAGTCCTTTACCCCACTTTAATATTCAGGCCACACCAGGAGCAAAAAAATTGTATTTAATTTCCAACAAATCTATTACTTTTCAAAGACTCAGTAAAATCATTCACCTCCTGAAAGGCAACCACATGCATCCCTACACAAAGAGAATGTCATTTACCAACACAATGACTGGGCTGTAACTAAAATATTGAACACCCAAAGAAAAACCTGCCACATACCCTGCGTGCTGACCTTAACGTTCAAATACTCTCTAATAGGGCAGAGGCTGCTGCCAGCTTTCAAACGTCATTCTACGGGTATCCAGAGAGTACAAGTAACAGGCAATTAGGTGTGCAGTTATAAAGCTCCAGAGTTATGCCAGACAAGAACCAAACACACGAGTCACCGGAGATTTAGATGTGGAATGTAAATCCGCGGCCATGAATTCACTGATTTCTGAGCTAATTTTGTACCATAGAAAGTAAGCAACACAGAGCCATGAACACCTCTCCACCAGAATATTCTGTTTATGTGGTATTTTGAGAAAGCAAAAACAATTTAGTATTTAACAGGAGAGGACTCTCATGGGGGTGGTTCTGTGACTCTTGAGCAAACTCTGGGATGGGCTGTCTTAGCTAATGTATTATTAGTTAGTTAATATTAGATAATAAAACCCTGAGGTTCAGGCTTTGGCTGATTTCTTCCCCAGAAAGATGCAAAGAACAGCACTGAGGGAAAG